TTTGGCCTTTGAAATGGCTTTGGTATTTTGCAATATGCTATTATTACCAAGTAATTTGGTAATAATAGTAGGAAATCAGTCTATGTGGATTCTGACTAAATGTGTGCCTTTCCAGCAGGGTGAGTTAATATGGAGGAAGAACAGGAGTAGGTCCGGTTTCAGGAGCATACACAAAACTGGCAGGGCAGTTGCCGGCAGAGCCAGTATATTCACCAGCTTCTGTTCCTCCTGAGCGAGCAAGCTCAGCAGAGCATTCTCTTGTTCAGTGCAGTGTCAGGAGGTTGCTATCGCTGCAGCATTTTTCCTTCCCAAGCAAGCAGTAGAAAGGAAGATGGATGGCCACAATAGAGGCAAGTGTGGGCTGAGCGTGCAAGCTGTACAATTTCATTTTAACAACTTAAAGAATTTATCTAGGTTCAGTGAAAGTGAAAGTGCAGGTTGTTTAATAAACTAGAACAGCGCATATCTAGGGGCCTAAATTGTCATATAATAGCAAGATCCTTCATGTTTCATGTGAAAATTAAGAATTTCCACACAGAAATTTCCAGTAATCTCAGATTTTTGGGGATATCTTTTCTTCTATGTTTTTATAGGACGAATTCCTAACCATATTTTAAGGAAGTAGTAGGGTTTCCTGTCTTGATATGTAGGTTCAGCCTATGTAGGTTAAAGAGACAGGTGAAGGTACTCTCAAAATGGAAGAAGGGAAGAGTTTCAGGGTGTTCCTCAGTGCTTTCAGCTGTTTATATTATTTAAATGATATATATACACAAAATCAGTAAAATTAATATTTGGCCCTCGAAAGAAAAATGCACTGCTGGCCTATCCTTATCTCTATGTCTAAAAGCAGAATTCTACTTTATTGATTACTGGTTTTTTTAGCTGGTTTTACGGTATTAGCATGTGAAATTTAACCAAATGACAACAAAAGTAGTACAACAGCTGTTTGAACTTTGGCAGTGCTGCTTATGAAATCATCATGTAGTGCTAGCTCTGTGCCTTCACTCTCTAGCTTGTTTTTATCAAAAATATCATTGATCATTAATGCCACAATGAAAAATAAGAGGTAGCAGTTCACATAAGAAAACATTTGGATGGCAGCTGTTCTACATTAAGTGTAGTTAATGGTCATGTTTGCAACCACAAATATGATATTTACATCCATTGAAATAACAGAATTCGTTGAATGGGATAAGAGCAGGATGATACCAGCTGCTGCAGAGTTTGGGTTTTTTTTAAGTTTGATTGATGTTGATTGGGCATGTCTTGGCTCTGTTGAATATCTGTAAGAAGCTGCAAAAATTTCACAACTGGGCAGGCAGTTCATTATTTACTTCTTTTCTTGAGCAAAAAGGAAAAAGAAGAGAGAAAGGAAGAAAGAGCAGTACTGAAAGCAATAATCAAATTTGCATCACTGTATAAGCTCTGCATAGATTGACAAAGAGGAAAAATAATAGGTTATGATTAACATTAATAACACTTACATTACTAAAGCAGTTGGCAGATATCAAATAGAGATTCATTTAGAAACATGGCTTGTAGCTACTGAGAATGGTATTCAGCATCAGCTACTTTGTATTAGAAATTTTCCCTGTCAAACAAATGAAATGAGTTTTGCTTGCAGAAAAATATAAAGTGACAGAACAAAAAATATGGGATGGAATTTAGAGTCCCTGAGATATGAAGCAATTCTATTAAACAGTATCCGTAACATATGTCTACAGGTGTAAGATCTTTTTTCCTGTTCTACTTTTTTGCAGAAATTCGTGTGTATGGATTGCCCTCCCTTGTTCATAGTAATAGTTAAAAAAAAAATAAATCCAAGTTCTGTCCTCCCAAGACGTGCTCTAAGGAAGAAATATGTCTGGTAATGCCACTTGAAGGGCAGGGTTCAATCTTTTCTTTTCCCTTAGCTGAAATGTCCTAAAAGTAGCAAGCTTCATTTTGTTTTTGCAGACTGTTACAAGAAATCTTTTCTTTTCCTTTTTTTTTTTTTTTTTTACTATGTTCAGTTCTTCTCTTCTTCTAGTACCATTTTTCTAGTACTTTCTATATGAAAATAGATTGATTTTTCTCCTAGCGAGTCTTTTCTGTAGGTACTTCTTATTCCAGAATTTGCCATTTGAACTTCCTAGAAAAAAATGCATAATTTGTTTATGCTTTAAGAGCAGTTTTTACTATTACAGACAAATTTTGAACCAGAAGTTCATTATGGCTACAGGATTATTTTCAGCTTTTCATGCTCTAGCAGTACTTGGTAGGTGTGTGCACTCTCCCAGAGTCTAAATATTTATACATGGAGAACTTCCTGCAGAAGGATAAAATATCTTAAAAAGAAAGCAGCCTGCTTTTACTTTACGGGGGCCAAAGCAAAAAGCCACATCATGTTTGTACTGATTTGTTTGAAAAAATAAAATCCCTAAAACAATGGGCCAAGTTTTTCCCTCAAATTTCTGATATGGCATGGTTGCATATGGAAATTATCTTACAGAGACAGAGTTCATTATGGAAAAGGGGCAACAACTTCATATACCTTGTTAAGTGTTTTTACTATGTACTCTAGTGACAAATGTTTAATCCACATGGTGTGTATCACTGCTTGAAATCAATGCCTCTATAGTAGGTTTTAATGCAATGCCATTGACCTCAGTATGAAAGATTTTGTTTCAGTAGGATTTTTTTGAGCCACCAGTGGAGTATGATTGATACACAACAGTTTTAAATCCCTGTTATTTCACTATAATATAGCAGTAATTTTTTAAGAAAGAAAAAGCCTTAGTAACTTTGGATGGATTCAAGAGGATATCAGCCAGAATCTCTCTTAAATATCTATTTATCTGGATGGAAACTTGGAAAGGGCAGAATTAGTACCTTGTATTCTATCCTCCCAAACTCACTGGAGCTTCAAAATCTTCTAGCCCAATTCACTCAGGAGCATCTAACCTCCCCATTCAATTTTGCTTTCTAGTCCTCTAGCCTTTCTAGTAAGTTAAACTGGCTTTCATTCTACATTGTGACACTGAAAAGTGGCTGCCAGCTTGACTCTCCTGGCTATTGTAATAATCAGCATCAATGAAAGATGAGCCTTTAGAGCAGAGTTGGATTTAGACCTTAATTTTAAATGCCCTTACAGTGAAGTGGAAACAGGTTTCTGATTTGGTTGAATCCCTGATAAAGTTTCCATTCAGTTGTTTGAGAGTGATGTTTCATTCTGAGAGTTCAGTTCTTCATTAGGTCTGGGCAAAACTGGCTCCTGACAGGACTGAGGTATGGAAATCATGGGGCTGATGGAGAATATCATTAACCCAGTGGCTCCAAAATAGTGAGTCAGATTTCACTCATGAGGCCCAAGCATATTTCAAGGGCAGCATGAGGCTGTCCTGGGCTCGGTGGTTTTGCTTAATCTTTCTGACTCGCCATTCTTTTCTGCTTTCCTTCCACAGTGGCAGCAGTTTAGACAGCACTATGTAGCCTTCACACTCCTTGGGACCCTCTAACTTGGTTAAGCTGCATGCCTAAGTTTTTCCTACCCAGTGTTGATACTCTTCTCTGGTGACTAATCAAGGGGTTTTACAGGGAATTTGAAAGGAGAAATAGAGAAGCAGCAACCAGCAGCAGGGTCTATCTGTTCCAGTAATCTGGTGTCTCCCCTGCCCACTGTGTAGCAAGACCCTTGAGTTATGGGGTCACAGTGGGAGTAAGAGACAGGGAAGCACCATCCAGGTCACAGAGTGAAGGAGGGCAAGAAGGAGAGCACAGAGAGGAGAAAGAAGAAAACACTGGTAATTTTCAGTGCCAGAAGTTGTTCCACCATACTACCATGAGCTTGCTCTCATCTAGTTCTGGACTCCTCTTGCTGTCCACTCCCAGGGGTGCGCAGAACAGCAGAGCCCTCCTGGAGGCAGTACTCAGCAGCCAAGAAAGCAGTGGTGGCAGCACAGATGTGCTGAGCAGTCCTGTAACTGTAAAAGAGCCAGAGATTCACCAGATTCAGGCAATCCTCTCTCACAGCAGAAATTAAATCTAGAAGATTAAGAAACCTAACCCTGAAGTTTTTGTGATCCTGGAGTTTGAGATTGTTCAGAGCTGGACACCAGTTGAGACTTATCTTCAAACAATTCAGGAGTTGCTGAAATTTTAGTATCATTGTTCAATAGAAATGATTTCTTTCTTCTTTCCAAATGCCTCCAAAGAGTGAGGTTCATCCTATTTTAATGCTTATCTACCCTAGCAGCTTTTAAAATTGATATTGTACTTCAATGATGAAAAGAATGCACACGGAAATGCACTTTTCTGTATCAGTCTTCTTAGTGAAGGTAGGGCTTCTTTGTGGTTCCTGTGCAAGAATGCTTATACTTATACTTATAGCTATACAAGAATGCTATATATTTTAAGAAGCCCAGATTTGAAGAAGCAAAACTGATCTTTACTACAAAACATTTATTAGGGGTATGTAAAAACTCAACTGTATTTGTGGTTCCTTCATTTGCAGCTTCCTTTTCCACATGGAATATATTGTCTTTTTTAGATGAACCTTCTCTATTAGAAATTTGGAAATCTTTGCATTTTTAATGTTGAGTTACGCATACCTAGTGTAACTGTGCAACCATCTGGAATGCATCTATAGAGAACATTACTATGGTAATTTGTATAACACTGATGACCTTATTAAGAAAGTCAAACTTTTCACCCTCATGGCAGGGAAATGCAGGTTTTATTTTAATTCTTATACTTATGCACAGACACTTGAGAAAGTAAATCAAAACAGAGTGGTAAACTAGTCATTAGTAGTGAAAGGCTCAGCAGTGTTAGAACTATTTTTTAACTTGCTTTCACACTTCAAGGTCACCCTCGAGCATAGTGATGACGAGATCGTATTCTGTAGAGGATACCATGGGTAGAACTGTCAAAAATTAACCCCTGTTTTAGAAGAAATTTTCAATTGATGTTTTTTCTGTTTAACAGCCTTATTGACTTCTTTTGTTTAAATTCTTTCACAGAGAATCTTTCTCAAAGCTGGAAGTGAGGAAGAAATCTTTGCACATCTTGGCTTGGATTATGTCGAACCATGGGAAAGGAATGCATAAAACAGTTTGCCAGTGTACATTCATCAGGAGACAGCAATGATCTTTGTGCCTATTTCTCAGTCTGAATTAAAAATATATGCAACCTGTATCTCTATGGCAGCTAAGATAATTTTAAAAATATATTAGTTACAAGCCGCTATACATGCTGGTGTTCCTAGAAAAGAAGAGCTTAAATTCTTCAGAATCCTTTTTGTTTTTTTCAGTTTGAGTTTCTGAAGTTTCTACACTAGAGTAGAACGGGGGTAGAACTTGAAGATCTTTTTCAAGGATAACTTGAAACTGGTGAGTTTTTTTGCTTGTGATAGGAATTTTAAATTACTGCAAATAATACTTGCTTTTAAAATACTGTCAACTATGACACTACTTAAATAATACAAGATATTTAGGATAAAATTCAGAAAATTACTGAAATATATGCTTAGCTTTAACTGAATTTCTTAAGTATTCTTCTGAATCCATATATAAAATTGCTACTGCATATAAGGCTTAAAGATCTAGGAAGTAATTATTCTGGCATTCTCAGCAAGACGAGGCTTCAGCTGTAATATTTGTCTAGGTTGAGGCACCACGCTACAAAAACTGTAAACAAGTTGCAGAGAATTCTGAGAGAGTTAGAAAACATGACATCTGAAGGTATTTTGGAAAGGAGAAGTGGAATAACTTAGTAGCAGTCTGCCACTGTGGGGGAAAATTTTTATAAACTTGGGGTACTAATTTGGACTAAAGAATATTGAGGTTGTGATGGTCTTTCATCAAGAATTTGAATCATGACCTACATGAAAAGAATTACTTTAACTGTGAGGCCGCTCTGTGGTCAATGTTTTTAATTGCGCTCAAATTAGATAACTGGAAATTTAGGTATTTACTAGTAGCTAAACATGCATTGGAATGGGAAGCTTAACTGAGGTATTTGGCTGTTCTAGAATGGTATTTCCTCTTTTTGATCAGAAATTAATCTGGGAAGTGAGATACTTTTTCTGATGAGAGTACTTCAATGAGATATTTTAGTTTCAGAAAATTCCCATATAGCTCTTGTGACAGAGATGATAATGATCAATTTGTAATACATTTATCCTTTAATGAACAAGGGCATTTATTGTTTTAATACCTAGCTATTTACTGACCATTCATTTGTCATTTGTAGAATAAAGGTGATTGGGAACACCATGACTGGTCAACTAATTTTATTTCTTAAGAAACTGACCTTTTTTCCCTCTTAAGGCTGATTTCATATATTGGCATGATAGGGACAGAATAGCAGAATGACAAGGCCATGCATAGCAATTATTGCTGACAGTAATGGCTTCTCATACTCGAACAATGGCAATATTCACTTGAAGGTTCCACATATGTATAAGCTATACCAAGGTTTAGAAATATAGTGCTTAACTACAGGATGAATGACATTGAATAGGAAGTTCTGAAAAGCTGCTCCCCCAAAGTACTATTGCATTGTTCATACAGTAGATAGTATAGTACAAATATTAACAAAAGTTCCAACATACATTTTTACATGCAGCCCCTCCTTTCTGGTTATTAAAATAGGTAGCAGCTGTATTTCTGTGAAAAGAGTACATTGTAATGGACTTTGGGCTCGGAACCATGAAAACACTCTAAACGTATCAAGGCATATCAAGTTCTACATACACAATGCCTAAATTTTGTAGGATATAGTTTATGCATCCTTCATTCTATCTTCTCTGCTCTATTCATGAAAATATGCTCATTCAGTTTAGTGCAGTTATTCATCTGAGTAAAGTGTTACAGGATCAGGCACAAAAGTGACTGTGGAAAAATGAAGGCTATTTCCAAACAAAGGATCAGTTTTTGAACTAAGGTCTTGTACTGTTCAATGCACACAACCATCTGGCTCACAGGTAGTAGGGAGATTTCCAAAGTTTTAGAAAAAAAAATGAAATGAAAGCTATGGCCCTACCATGCTTACAACAAGAAATTCATGCTATGCTATGAATTCATTCTATAATTTCTGGTAATCCTAATTTTATAGTACATGCAATTCCAATTCTGGAAATTAGGCATAATGTGATGATGTTAGTAGAAATATAGGCAAGACTTTTTTTACAAATATAGTTGCATGAAAATTTTGAAACCAGAAAAAGTATATTGGGTTTTTTTTTACTGGTTCTATTCAACTGGGGAATAGATATTTAAAAAGAACTGAATTGTAAATCATTCTAAAACCTAAACCAGGGAAGTAGAAAAATGTGATAACAGCACGGAATTTTATTCTTGCCTGTGCCAATAAACTCATCCTTTTTAAGTACAGCTTTGCTAACTGAGCTGAAAATATAGCACTACTTTCTAAATTGCTCTAACTAGAAAGCACTGACATTGCTTCCTGCTTTATCACGCTGATACATGAGGCACCTTCTCTGTTTTGCATGAGGATGCTGACACTTAAGCAGCAATGGGATTTTTCAGTCCTAGTGCAAGAGAACAAAAGATTTGATACCTTATCTAAAAAAACCTTCTTACTTGGCCAACATTTATCAGAAATTATATATTCCAATTGTGCTGTTTCTGCATACTTCATACCACAAAAGAATTACTAAACATTTTGATTTCCATATAAGGAAATGTTTGAAATGTGTAACTTGCATCTTGCATGCCTATGCATTACTTACAACTGTGCAACCCGTGAGGGAGGGAGAAAATACCAAACATACATTCTTTAGAATGTATTTTACAGAGAATGGAAAACTGGATTACTAACTGGGTCATGAATGATGAAAAATTATGGTTATTGTTAAGCAAGGGTTTAGATAGGAGATCTGAATAGATGATCAAGATAGTCTGATTCTGAAGATGGTAGCTTCTGTTATGAACACCTTTCTTGAGGAAGCTACTACCCTACATGCTACTGTGTGCAGAATCATCCCTGGGAGCACTAGCCAAACTCACTGTAAGGGCAGAGTTAGGAAGCACAGGGGATGTTACTGGTAACAGCTATACATGGGAATAAGGAAAACTTTATGATTCAAGAAGAAAATGTATGTATGTTCTTCACTAGAGAAGAAACATAAGGTAATAAGAAAATTCAAAAAGCATACATTCTACAGTTTTTAGTAAATAAATTCTGAATGATAACATGACGCTTCTTGCAACAATTAAATCCAGTCCTACAGTGCTGAATAGTCTCAGCTCTAAAATGATTTCAGTGGTTCTTGATAGTGTTAGGCAACTGGAACTATAATTAGAAAAGATAGAAGTCATATAGGAGAACTGCAATGGAACAGGGTAAAGGAAATAAAACCTGAATCAACTGTACATATCCTGATCCATGAGAGTACTGAAATCTCCTTACAGTATGGTGGAACTGTTGGAATTGATGCTAATAATACTTCTGAACTCAGGAATGACAGGTGAGGCCTGGGGGACTGGAAAAGGGCAAACTCTTGTAGAAAGAGCAGACTGATGTTTGCGAAGCCAGGAGGAAAGAGAGAATTTCAGATCAGTACACTTAATACCTATTAAATTGCTAGAATGATTAATAGATTTTTTTTAAGCACCTAGAGGAAAATGAAATGATAAATTGCGGGTAATATGGGTTCATCAGAAACAAATCAGACCAAACTAATGCAGTTCTACAGTCCCTGGAGGTTAATTTTTAAAATGTCTGCCCCTCCTCTCCTGCTTCTATGCCAAGGCAATTTGGCAAGCAGTAAGAAGAGAAGGATCATTGGTTTTATAAGCATCTACATACTAACTCTCTAAAAATTGATCAGTGACTTCACATCTAGAAAAAATAGACGTAAAACTTAAAATAAGAAGAAAATTACAGCATTCCTTTCATAATTTGTGGTAATCTGTGATTGTCAAATACCCCAAATCATGTTTTCCAGTGACAAATATAGTATAATTTGCCCATTGTATTGCCCAATACATTGCCCATTGTACGGGCAATGTAATGCCCGATACATTGCCCATTGTATGGGCAATGTGATATACTCATAAAAAAACCCGAATCCATATGTGAAATCACACTATTTCCAAACTCCTTTCTACAAATCCTTTAAAGCAATAGCAATGAGTTGTATTTAGATTGGCAGTTAATAATGTAGTTAATGATGTCGTCAGTGTATCTTGGTATAACATGCTAAGGGAAGAGCTTATCGTGTCTACACAACTCTACAGAACTGCAAATCCAGGCAACCTAAATATTGATACGGCTGGCGTTATAAACTCAAATCCACCCAAACTTTCTGACAATGAGGTTGTAAATTACTGTAAATTTACAACTGATGTTGTAAATTACTGGAAACCTGATAATTCCTGCTATTTTATTCCAGAATTAAATAAACAAACAAACAAAAACAAAAAACCCCAAAGATCTGCAAACCTTGCAGTCTCCCAATGAAATGTGTTTTTTACAGTTCATGGCCAGAATTGTTTGGATTTCTCATGTGAGGCAATGTGTGAAACAGAGTCTTTCACTTGCTGAACAGCTATTTCTTTCTATGATAGTTTCCTGCAGCAACTGCAGTTAAAAGAATCAAGTCCTGGGGCTAAAAGGTTAATTGAAGAAAGCGAAAAGTCACATAAAGAAATGAAGACAGGGAGCTCTGGAAACCTTCCCATAGATGCTAAGCTTCTGCTTGACTGGTTGTCAGTCTAGCTAGGAGACAATGCCAGTAGTTTTGTCTTTAAGAGCCCGACAGGGGCCATATCCATAAAAAGTGTCATATGTACGCATCATGCATATAGGTGAATAAGAGCTTAAGAGCTCTCTACTTCTAAATTCAGCTAATTAGCTGGTGTGTGTATATGTGTGCACGCATGCACTTAAAGCTTTTT